GTACTGCTGATAGTGAAATATATATATATTTAAATGGACTTGGCAAGAGAGAATTATATTGGTTTGAAATTTTATAGAAAATGCAAAGAAAACGGTCTATTTTACTGTTGTAACCTAGTGAAGGTTACTGAATAGAATAATCAGACGAAGGTTGGTAATGAACGATAATACTTAGGACAAGAACAACACATATAAGATTTGCCAGCGTCGCGTAGAAGAAGTAGTTAACTGCTAGAAGTCAAGTGAATTTCACAATGGATCTCCAACTCTAGGATATCTAGCAATTGCCCCTCACGGTCAGAATTTGACAAGGATGAATTTAATGTGGGGTATTCGAGCTCGAAGTCTCGGCCAAAATTTCCCAGTAGACCACGTATAAAACGGGATCGGGTAGCTGTTTCTCGAGACGAGACTCTGCCCTTCGACATAGCCTCGTCTGAGGAACCTCTCTGCTCGGAAGCAGAGAGTTTGACCAGCACAGCTGGAGACGAATTTCCAGCTTCAGACTAACATACAGTATTCACTATTGTATTTATGGGAATGGGGGCATACCCATTATCGTCTGTAGGTACGCTATAACATTTACTTAACATCAAAAAGAGACAGCTGACGCATAATGAGATAAATATGACAGTCGCAGGACTTACTTGAGGCTCGTGGGAGAGGGGGAAGTCACCGCATAAGATTACTAACGAGCTTGTGTAGAGAGTTGACAGAACAGGACTTAGGAGTGATAGTAAAAAACAAAAGCAAATCATAGCCGCTGAAGTCATGATGTGACGTGATACGTAGAGTAAGACGAAGATATAAACAGTTCTAAGATTCTATATTTAATTCGACGAAAATTGGATAAAAACTCTATAGTTATCATTTGTATTTCTTTTAATCATTGGTAAAAGTTCCATTTTTGAGCCCGACTTAATCGAACGACGTCCGCTTAATCAGAATTCCCATCGATCAATTGGATTTATTGTTATAAACTTCCTGGTAAATCACAGGTATAAATCATTGAAACCGATTATTCTGCTTCTATCAATCCATTGAAATCAGGCATTCTTGGAATCTGACCAAAATTTTAACAAAACATTTCACAGCAGAATTAATATTTTGTCTTTTTCTTTTTTAAAATAAGGTTCACCATGTACAAACCCTGAGAGTTACTCAAGGAAGAGGGTTTGTTAATTAAAAAGAAATCATTTCATCCCAAGCAAGGCAAAAAAGCCACTAAGGCACAAGGTGTTACAGTGTGTGTGTGATGTGAAAAAAGAAAGAAAAATAATTAGGGAGAGAGAACAATTAAGAAAACGGATGATAAGGAAAAGCATGAAGGTGGAAGAGAGTTCAACGTGTGAGAAGTGCGAGTGAAGAAACGTCGTGAATATAGTAAAAGATGAGAACAACAGACAGAACTATGTAAATAATTACAATACCTCATCTCAGAAATATAGACAGATGTTGAAGGAGTGAATATGGCAATAAAGATGAGGACAACAGTCCGAACAATGTAAATAGTGTAAATAATTACAATACCTCATCTCAGAAATATAGACAGATATTGAAGGAGTGAATATGGCAATAAAGATGAGGACAACAGTCCAAACAATGTAAATAGTGTAAATAATTACAATACCTCATCTCAGAAATATAGACAGATATTGAAGGAGTGAATATGGCAACAAAGATGAGGACAACAGTCCGAACAATGTAAATAGTGTAAATAATTACAATACCTCATCTCAAAATATAGACAGATATTGAAGGAGTGAATATGGCAACAAAGATGAGGACAATAGTCCGAACAATGTAAATAAAATAATTACAATACCTCATCTCAGAAATATAGACAGATATTGAAGGAGTGAATATGGCAACAAAGATGAGGACAACAGTCCGAACAATGTAAATAGTGTAAATAATTACAATACCTCATCTCAGAAATATAGACAGATATTGAAGGACAGAATATTGAAAGATGAGGACAATAGTCCGAACAATGTAAATAGTGTAAATAATTACAATAAATCTCAAAATATAGACAGATATTGAAGGAGTGAATATGGCAAAAATATAATTACAATACCTCATCTCAGAAATATAGACAGACAAATAAAGATGAGTCCGAACAATGTAAATAGTGTAAATAATTACAATACCTCATCTCATATAGACAGATATTGAAGGAAATATATAAAGACAGATAACAGTCTGAAGGAAATAGTGAAATAATTACAACAAATAGATGTTGAAGGAATATGGCAACAAAGATGAGGACAACAGTCCGAACAATGTAAATAGTGTAAATAATTACAATACCTCATCTCAGAAATATAGACAGATATTGAAGGAGTGAATATGGCAACAAAGATGAGGACAATAGTCCGAACAATGTAAATAGTGTAAATAATTACAATACCTCATCTCAGAAATATAGACAGATATTGAAGGAGTGAATATGGCAACAAAGATGAGGACAACAGTCCGAACAACAAATAGTCCAATACCTCATCTCAAGAACAATGTAAATAACAAAGATGAGGACAACAGTCCGAAAATAAATAGTTACAATACCTCATCTCAGAAATATAGACAGATATTGAAGGAGTGAATATGGCAATAAAGATGAGGACAACAGTCTGAACAATGTAAATAGTGTAAATAATTACAATACCTCATCTCAGAAATATAGACAGATATTGAAGGAGTGAATATGGCAATAAAGATGAGGACAACAGTCTGAACAATGTAAATAGTGTAAATAATTACAATACCTCATCTCAGAAATATAGACAGATATTGAAGGAGTGAATATGGCAATAAAGATGAGGACAACAGTCTGAACAATGTAAATAGTGTAAATAATTAGAATACCTCATCTCAGAAATATAGACAGATATTGAAGGAGTGAATATGGCAATAAAGATGAGGACAACAGTCCAAACAATGTAAATAGTGTAAATAATTACAATGCCTCATTTCAGAAATATATACAGATTTTGAAGGAGTGAATATGGCAACAAAGATGAGGACAACAGTCCGAACAATATAAATAATGTAAATAATTACAATACCTCTTCTCAGAAATATAGACAGATGTTGAAGGAGTGAATATGGCAATAAAGATGAGGACAACAGTCCGAACAAAGTAAATAGTGTAAATAATTACAATACCCCCTCTCAGAAATATAGACAGATATCAAATACTGTTGCTTTCCCGCAACTGAAAGTTTATGTTCATTTCATTATTTGATGATCTTGTAGAGGACCGTGTGTGTTTGCGTGTTGTTGTATTAAAAACACGTGTTTAACTCCTACTAGAATATTAAAAGGTTTAAACTACAAGAAAATGCCCGTACTTGAATTAAGTCCAACTGAAGATAAAGAAGACAAACAAAACCGATATATATATATATATATATATATATATATATATATATATATATATATATATATATATATATATATATAAACAAATATATGTATTAAACAAAACAATTTTACAATGGACATTTGTGTGTGTGTAAACATTGATGTCTGATCTTTGGTGAATGTTCGTACGTACGTGTATGTGTGTATAATGTTCATGGCGTCTCCCACAAATGGGAAGACGCGGATCTTCTAAGAGAGCTTACATTGTAGTCGCTGAAATGAAGAAATGAAAAAGAGAGCGAGGCGAGAAGTCGCCCATTATTTATAGTATAGGGAGAATGACCCCTAGTGACAATTAGGGAATTAAGGAGGAGCTAACTCCGACATAATCTCCAGAGGGTTCAAAGGTCATTGTATCGTTTTTTTTCTTACATGGAGTCCATGACTCTGAGCCATACAAAAGGATGGCAAGTACAACAGCTCTGTAAACCCGAATTTTCGTATCCAGTTGAATACTCCGCTCATTCCACAAGCGATGGCGAAGTTTGCCGAAAGCACTGGTAGCCTTATCATTCCGATGCACGATTTCATCATCTAAAGTTCCAATGTAGTTGACTTTGCTACCAAGATAGGTGAAAGACTTTACATAGTTCAGGATTTAATATATATATATATATATATATATATATATATATATATATATGATTGATGTATACGGAATGTATTCCAATAACCAAAAAATACTATTCTTAAAAGAATGCTCAATACAGAGTAGAGCAAATATAATTTATTCAAAAATTATAACATAAATATGTCATACAATCACTACAAAAATAGCCATTTTGTTTCCACACTTCTGGTGTCTTATCAAGTGATGGTGTTGAATGTAGGTTCTACATTCAATGCTATCACTTGATTTGGACGTCGGCTCAGTTCTTTTAAATCAAATATGTGGTGCAGTTCAATTTATATTACGATGAATCCGACGTGCAAAGTTTCGGGATAACAACTGATTACTTATTGAACTATTTAGTTCATGCCACATTGACTGATAAACGCATACAACAAAAATTCGTTGCGACCAAACGCTCCAAATGTTTGTATCCGTTATCAATAACACAATTAAAAAAAAAAACATATTTCGATTCGCATTATATTTTTCGTCTCGGATGCTACCTGAATTTTACCAAAAACAAAATAATTTCCATGCCTGAAGATGACTGAATGTACAATCGAAAGTACTTGCGTATTAAAGAAAGACCCTATACAGCTTATAATTTAAAAAAAACAAGGATCATAACATCCATCTAGTGATTGGTAGGTTAATGCATCTTAAAAATTTTGTTAGCGAAGGGATTTCGCCCTTTTATATCATTAACTTTATTAATTTACTCTTTGTATGAAAGATTCATTGTAATATAAATTGAACTGCACCACCTATTTGATTTCAAAGAACACACGCACACACGCACACACACACACACACACACACATATATATATATATATATATATATATATATATATATATATATATATTCGGGAACAATGTGAAAGATGAATTTTATATAGAAAAAAGCCAGTGTATCAGACAATAACCTTTGATATATTTAAATTATTATCTATAGAAGTTACATGCACTCAACACAATGTCTTTCTTTTGTCATTTCATTGCTTGTAGCAAAATGCGAAAACATTACTTTTTTTCTATTCTCTCTCTCTCTTTATTTCTCTCTCAATCTCTCTCTCTCAGTTTCTTTCTCTCTTTCACTCTGTCTTTCTCTTCCCCGTCTCTTTCTCTCTCGCTTGCTTATTTTTTCTCCTTCATATATTGATTTGTTTTATATAAAACTCAGTATAGTTTGAAAAAAAAGAAAGAAAACGACTAAATTTGAGAGGATTTACGTTGGAAGAGTATGTAGCGTCAGTTATTCCAAATTGAAGAACGAGTATCAAAAATAGTTGCATTTACGTAGGTTGAAACAACTAAAATTTAAGAGGTATGTTTCTGTAAATTCACCCCTCCCCGAATCAAACCTGATGTTTGGTCAGATTTTGGGATGTAAATCGGTACGAAGATTTTTCAGCACACTTTGCTAACATCTTACTTATTATAAAACGCAGATTGTGTGTGTGTGTGTGTGTGTGTGTGTGTGTGTACGTTTATATATTGGATCGGATTTCCTACATTTTACAACCGATTTCAACAAAACTTCACAGGACGACGTAAAATTACCTTGCGGTGGTTCTGACAGCGCCAAAATTGGAAAAACACAATTGTTTTTGCACGAAATCAATTTGAAAACACGATTAAGAGGCATCGCGAGAATGAAAGGGTGACAACTCATATCGAGTTATACTTATTATAAAACCCAGGTTGGTTGTGTGTGTGTGTGTGTTCGTTTATATATTGGATCAGATTTCCTACATTTTTCAACCGATTTCAATAAAACTTCACTTTTTTTGGCAGGTAGTGTTTCTTATTGTTTTGCACACTTTTTTCTTTATTTTTACATTCAGAATGCTTTTAAAATTCCATTTAAAAGACAATTGTTTATAATAAAATTCTATTCAATCGGTAGACTCATAACGATTGAAAACAATGTTTTTGTTTGAGTTTGGGTTTGACCAATTCGTAAAAAAAAACAAAAAAAAAAAAAAACTAATTAAGACATGCGTGTTCGTCAACCTTAAACAATAATCTTTGTCAATTTTATTTTTCAGACTTTATGATGGTCGATACTTGATCTATCTCTTACTGTTACATCCCCGGGCAACGCCGGGCTCTACTGCTAGTATATTATAATATCAATCAATTAATCAAACAGTGATACTGGCTGCGTACAGTAGGTGCTTCATCAAAGCTATTTCATCTTCTATATGTCATGTCACTTAAGGACTTTGGCGATCATAGCTTTCCAAAATGTCCTCCATTATGGAGCTTTTAGGAAATTTTAGTCCTTTTTGCTATGTATACTAACGCCTGTTATACTATCGACCTAAACAAGCTGTGTCAGTAGGTAATTCTCTATTCTTGTCTGTTTCTCTTTTCTTACCGTTTTTGAGTTCGTTCTCCTTCTCCTAGACTAGTTGCCAACTCAGAAGATACCTGCCTGACCTACTAATTGTTTAACCTATAGCTGGGGGGTTCATGCATTTTTCAAGGATAGTTACTATTAGAATGCCAACTCGGCTCTTCGATTTCTTTTTCGAGCAGCTATCTATTACACAATGGACACATCACCATAATAATGTTGTTATCGGCACCTGCTCGCATCTGATCATTGGGATCGTCATCCTTTTTTCACTATTGCCTTTATCTCCCCTCGTGGCGGTGGCTGTGAATGAAAGAGTTTGTCGAGCACATTCACGTGAATTTGATTTTGGTGGACAAGCCAACACGGCGGTTATTCATAATGACGGTCGTCTTCGAGTATAGAATCCAGAGGTTAGCAGTGAATATTTCGAAGACAGTAGGAAAGCGTTGTTCAGGTTAGCAGTGGATATTTTGGTAAAAGTAGCGGAGCGTAGTTCATTCTTCTGTTTCTCTTCGCCTGACAAGCTGGACTGGACGAAAAATGACCTCCTTTATACACGACGGATTGAATGTTCTACGTCTTCTAATTGGTTAACCTTCTATTGGTGGACTATAAAGTGAGTTAAGTCATTTGAGCTAACTCACTAGTTACGTATATATACACAAAAACTGTAACAGAAGCCCCCACACTTGGTCAGAATGCCCCACGCTTCCTCGCACGACTCAAAGGGGATTGATACAGGCGAGATCTGGCAAAGCTGGTTGCATCGGGCTGTCGGATGCTTGGTCTGTCAAGGTCTGCCGTAGTTATGCCAGCCGGACTGGCGCTGCCCTCTTCCGATAAGTTGGTCGTTGAGATCGGATAGATCTTTGCCTATTCCACCATTGGAGTCTTCGGAAGTTGGTCGCGTTCAGTCTAGTCCCTCCTACTCGACCTTACATCTATGGTCCTACGGGAGCTGGAAATTCGAACGGCTTCGCTCTTGGGATCACCGGGACAAGTAAACCCTCTACTCTTGCAAGAAATGACCATATATATTTTACATTGGATATCAAAGTGAACAGTTCGTTATCAAAGGTAACATTTTGACTTATTATTACTTTAATGGCAAATTCGCAGTTGAGAAAGGCATGAACTCAACTCTCCCTTCCTTCCCAGCTGCGGGGAGCATATTCGGACAAATTGGGCTCAAACCTCGGTAAGGCGACGAGTTTAGGAAAAGAAAAACACGGAATACAAAAAGTCCTATCAACAAGTTATAGGCTGATGTACTTTGGTAAAACACGATGAACGGTAAAACTACATCCTCACTGCTTATACTTACATACGCTCACGCACACACACACATTTATATATATATATATATATATATATATATATATATATCGTCATCCCAGCTCGCATACGATCATTGGGATCGTCATCCTCTCTCTAGTGTCGGTGGCTGAGATGGCTGTGAATCAAAGAGAGTTTGACAATTGACGGAGAAGCCCATACACTTGGACAGAAGCGCCTACCTCGTGGCTTAAAGTGGACTGAGACAGGCGAGATCTGGTAAACCTGGTTGCATCGGGCTGTCGGGTGCTTGGTCTGTCAAGGTTTGCCTTGATTACCGTAGCCCGACTGGCGCTGTCATCTTCCGCCGGAATAGCCGTTGAGATCATGTAGACCTTTGCTTATTCTGCAATTGGGGGTCTTCGGGTTTTGGTTGCTGTTTTGGCATTATCGCCATGGGTTAAGACTCGAAACGCTTTTCCTACAAATTTATAAATACTCACACTATTTACATTATTCTATATACTATCGTCCTCATCTTTGTCGCCATATTTATTACAACGTTTCGGCCCTTCAGTGTCTGTCTATATTTCTGAGATGAGGTATTATGTATATTATTTACATTATTCTGACTATTGTCCTCATCTCATATTTATTACAACGTTTCGGCCCTTCAGTATCTGTCAACATTTCTGAGATGAGGTATTATGTACACTATTTACATTATTCGGACTATTGTCCTCATCTTTGTCGCCATATTTATTACAATTTCGGCCGTTGTACACTCCAGCCTTCTTCAGGTGGTTGGAATGTCGAAGTGAACCTTTTGTTTCGCTCACTGGGGTAGACTGTTCTAGTTCCACGTGCCATGTTTAATGGATGTCAGTTATCAATTATCTTCTGTTAATTTTTCCTCTGAAATTTCTCCACTGCCTTAACCGGGTATTGAACTCACACTCTTTGTGTCCTGTCACTAGATCTAACTAACGCCTTTATCCACTGAACCAATAAACAAGGATAAGCAAAACAAATATTACGACACGAAATGCATTTCCTATAATTTCAAAGATTACGTTGTCTTTCATAAAAAAGTGAAATGTAAATATAGAATTATTCATGCCAGTAAGTAATTTAACAAATCCAAGGCATTATATGTTCCTAATATAACAATTCCTAGTGATAATATACATTAAATAAAACAAAAAAAAAATCGATGTCTACATCAAATTAAAAAAATATGTATTTTAATAATTAAGTATTGTAAATATTATGCATTTACAATATACCATAATAATAGACCCAGCTTAAAGTAATTGATGGCGCTCACGAGACATATCAGTGATACTCATGGTCAAAAGAATGTAAAGTACGTATTGTGAAATGGGTAATATAACACGTTAGGCAATCACTGCCATATGTATGTTGGTACTATTTAAATTATTATCTATAGAAGTTAAATGCACTCAACACAATGTCTTTCTTTTGTCATTTCATTGCTTGTAGTAAAATATGAAAACATTACTTTTTTTCTATTGTCTCTCTCTTTATTTCTCTCTCAATCTCTCTCTCTCAGTTTCTTTCTCTCTTTCACTCTGTCTTTCTCTTCCCCGTCTCTTTCTCTCTCGCTTGCTTATTTTTTCTCCTTCATATATAGATTTGTTTTATATTTACTCAGTATAGTTAAAAAAAAAAAAAAAAAAAAAAACAAAAGCGACTAAATTTGAGAGGATTTACGTTGGAAAAACAATTTCCATCACGATTTACCAATTTGGAAAGGCCAGTTTAAAAGGAGATTGAAAATGTAAGTACAAAGTGAATTGCACTTAAAAACTATGGGTGAAGGCATTCTGTGTTATTAACAGCGAAAATAAGTGCTTTTTTACGTCTTATCAACCCTTTTCCCATTATCTTTAAAAGCGAAACACAGTTTGGACTGTAAGAATAATTCTTATTTTTTGCGAGTGAATATTGCATTAAAAATTTTTTTGGAGATAACAATGATTATCCAGTTACAATTTTTACTATTTAACCCACATCTGGGGAGAAGAAGACGCGGAATCATTCCTTTAGTAGATTTTACTTGCGCGTAAATGAATGTGATGAACTCGTCTCACCGATTTCTCATCTGAAGCCATTATCTATTTCACCATCCGCACATCCAATAAGGAAAAATAAAGTCATAGAGAAAATATATTCTTTCAAAAATTTTCGATAGATATTGTGTTTCTTTTTTGTTTTTTTTTTGTAAATATATGGTTTCTTGCTTAACTTAGAAGTCATATAAAACTCATCATGTCTCTGCTTGCGTTAATTCCCATTTGTTTCAATCGTCCAATGTTATCTTTCCGCTTCGGTTTTTACAGCAAGTTCCCTTTAAGCTGTTTGTCTTCATTTATAATCGTTTCAGCCTGACAATAGTATTAATCATAGTAACGAGTGAATACACAGAAACAGAAGTTGGAGTAAGACAAGGACAATTTTTCTCAGTGCATTTATTTAATCTTTACACGTCAAGACAAACCGAAGAAGACGGGCAGAAACAACCACGACAGTATAATATATAATTATTTTAAAACATTTTTATGTTTATACATTCTTTTTTATAGATACAAATATTTAAGTAAATCCTCTGTTTATAATAAACAGTATTAAACAACATTTACCGGTGTGAATGTCCGAGAAATTTTCATAGAAAATATTCGTCCTCCGACACAAATCGAATCTGTATCCTATACGGAACCGTCACATAGCCTGACGTGCCTTAACCGATTGGGCCACAGAGGAGAGTTCGGTTAGCAAGGTCAATTTTACTGTCTTTAAACTACAATCTTCCAAGATTCTCTCAGGCACATTCACATCTGCTCGATGCGTATCCAAAAGTAAACAAATGACGTCACACATTATGAAATGAACAAAGTCCAACAATTATTTTAAGACATTTTTATGTTTATACATTCTTTTTTTATAGATACAAATATATAAGTAAATGTTCTGTTTTATAATAAACAGTATTAAACAACATTTACCGTCGTGAATGTCCGAGAAATTTTTATAGAAAATATTCGTCCTCCGACAGGAATCAAACCTGTATCTTATACGGAACCGTCATATAGCCTGACGTGCCTTAATCGACCTTGCTAACCGAACGCTCCTCTGTGGCCCAATCGGTTAAGGCACGTCAGGCTATATGACGGTTCCGTATGTAATGTCTTAAAATAATTGTCGGACTTTGTCCATTTCCTAGTATGTGACGTCATAATATATAATCTTAACAACATTCTTCTTCGTGTCTCTTCGTGACGTGGGCGATCTCCGCAACCTTCTATCGATTGTAACCCTTAGTAACATTTGTCACTTTGCCTAGACTTCCACTCAACCTTCCGTCATTGATTCACATAAGCTCGTTAGCAAGGTAACCCGTTGATTCTCATGTTTCTAATAACATAAGATATGCAAACGTCCCTATAGTAATGGTAGACTCAGAACATCTGAGTCTGCTATTAATATATTGTGATTGCTCTACGGCTGTTTTTGACGTTCCCAGTTCACAGTTTCTGCTGCTATGACAGAGAGTAGATTCTCGAACCTGAAGCTCTTTAAATGTCATTTGATATCGCTTATTCCAATTTGCCCCTCATTTCAATTGAACATGAAACTGCGGAGAAGATAGACTTTGATCCAGTTATTAGTAACTTTGCCTCTGCAAAAACTTGAAACGTTAAAATACGATAAATTTTGTTCAGATAATTTTTGAATTTGTTGTTTTTCAACTATTAATCAACGCCATTAAGGGTCTTTCATTTATATTTTTCCTCCAAAAAAAAAAGGGAGTGTCATTACGAGTATGGGTCCCGGGTGGAACTTTGCCTGGTTTCGCCCCTGCTCAGAAGAACTGTTAGAAAATCTAGTAATGAATAGCAAGAATAAAAGACTAACAATTAACTGTAAGAAGATAGAATACATGGTTATCCCCAAAAGAGCCAACCCCAGATGTGAACTACGTTTGGCTGAGATTAAAATCAAGCAAATGCAGAAATTGAACAAATAATATAGTGCAGTAACAAGCCACAGAAATTATGTAAAATATTAAAATGTGACGCAAAATGCCGAAGGCGGGTAGGAATAGCGAAAAATGCCTTTCAGAAACTAAGTAAAATGCTAAGATAGGAAGCTTTCGTTAGAAACAAGAAAGCAGCGTTGGATTGTCTTGTAATGTCCAATCTCAAATATGCCAGTGAATAACAGACAATAACTCAGACGATGAAACACGCAAGAGGCATACTGAGAATTCCATAGACTTAACATGCGAGCAACGTGGAAGTTTTAAGGAAAAAAAAGGAACGCGTCCAGGGTAAGACAATAAACTACATCCGCGTCCTGGGTAAGACGATAAACTACATCCGCATCCTGGGTATAGACGATAAACTACATCCGTGTCCTCGTTAAGGCGATAAACTACATCCGCGTCCTCGTTAAGGCGATAAACTACATACGCGCTCTCATTAGGCGATAAACTACATATACGTCCTCGTTAAGACGATAAACTACATCCAAGTCCTGGTTAAAAATATAAACTACACCCGAATCCTGGTTAAGACAATGAACTACACCCGATTCGTGGGTAAGACGATAAACTACATTCGCGTCCTGGGTAAGACGATAAACTACATCCGCGTCCTGGGTATGACGATAAACTACATCCGCGTCCTGGGTAAGACGATAAACTACATCCGCGTCCTGGGTAAGACGATAAACTACATCCGCGTCCTGGGTAAGTCGATAAACTACATCCGACAGCAAGGCCTCTGATCAGGAGGTGTTGAGGAGCGTGGAACCACATCTTAATTGTTCGTGTTTCCAGGTCCACCCTGACCCGTTAGGGTCCTAGGTATGGGCAAATAGTTAACCCCCAAACTGGGCTCAAAACACTATGAAAGTGTAAAAATGGGTTTTAATACCTGCAATACATTTTTGTAAAAAATTATTACCAGCAATGATTTTTGAAAAAAAAAAATATTATCACGAATACATTACTACCAACAATACGTTTTTTGAAAAAAATATTACCAGAAATACATTTTTGAACAAAAATATTATCAGCAATAAAAATGTTGTCGGCATTAAATAACCCACTGAGGTTGATATGCCGTAAAACAAAACAAATCAAATCAAACCGAAAACAGGAACTAAAATACACTTATAATGAGGAGACACTTGAGAATTATGGGGTGCATAATGAGAAAAGATGGCTTAGAGAATTTAACACTCACGGGATATACTGAAAGCAAGGGGAAACAGCAAATAACCTACCACTATAGATTATGTGAATGGATCGTAGAACAGGGTGATGATAAAGAATTAGAAATTACTTAGAGCAGCGAAAACAGGAAGTTGTGGGCGACCATGATTGTCAACGTCCTGGCGGTAATATTTGTAATGAATAGACGGACAGACTGATAGAGAAAGGTGGGGGTAGAGCTTGATAAACTAGAAAAGGAGGGAGGGTCGATGAAGAGAGAAATAGAATAAAAAAAAACGGTCTTATCTGCAATGAAGACGGTCGACAGACAAGAGAAACAGTAATTTTGGTCAGCCATTCACGCGAAGGGAAAAATAATAGTCAGTTGAACGGATAGAAAAAATGTCGGCCACCGCCAACGACATTATGAAGTACGACAAATACATGACATCGCAAATTGGTCATCAGGTCGAAGAAACATCTCATGTCATTGGAAGACGCATTGATTTTATATTTTGATTGCTCAGGCTCTAATTAGGGAGACACAAGCTGGAGATAAGTGGTGTGGGGATGCAGACTGGCATCGGGAAGAAAGGAATAATTTGAGCGCAGTATAGACAAAAGAGAAAAAAAATTGAGAATGGTAATGATTTCAATTGAAAAAGACGCTGCAAAAACTGAGACAAATGTCGATACGTCTGGAAGCATTAGTGATTTGTACGGATATATGTAATCTAGAGATAGCGAGATAAATTCGGAGATATCTATCTATCTATCTATCTATCTATCTCAGTTTATTCATATTCATCTCTTTTCATATCTATCTATCTACCTATGTATCTCAGTCTTTTTCTATCTATCTATCTATCTATTTCAGTCTATTCATATTAATCTCTTTTCATATATATATATATATATATATATATATATATATATATATATATATCAGTCTATTTATTTCTATCTATCTATCTATCTATCTATCTATCTCAGTCTTTTCATCTATCTATCTATCTATCTATCTATCTATCTATCTATCTCATCTATCACTCTATCTATCTATCTATCTATCTATCTATCTATCTATCTATCTCAGTCTATTCATATTAATCTCTTTTCATATCTATCTATCTATCTATCTATCTATCTATCTATCTATATATATATATATATATATATATATCAGTTTTTTCTATCTATCTATTTATCTATCTATTTCAGTCTATTCATATCTATCTATCTATCTATCTATCTATCTATCTCAGTCTTTTTCTATCTATCTCAGTCTTTTTCTATCTATCTATCTATCTATCTATCTATCTATCTCATCCATCTCACATCTATCTATCTATCTATCTATCTATCTATCTATCTATCTATCTATCTATCTCAGGCCACATCCATCTCTATCTATCATCTATCTATCTATCTATCTATCTCTATCAGTCTATTCATATTAATCTCTTTTCATATCTATCTATCTATCTATCTATCTATCTATCTATCTATATATATATATATATATATTTTTTTTTTCTATCTATCTATTTATCTATCTATTTCAGTCTATTCATATCTATCTATCTATCTATCCTATCTATCTATCTCAGTCTTTTCTATCTATCTCAGTCTTTTTTCTATCTATCTATCTATCTATCTATCTATCTATCGCTCACATCTCATCTATCTATCTATCTATCTATCTATCTATCTATCTATCTATCTATCTATTCTGATTAATGAAGAGGCTTGACTCAGTTAATCAGATTATGCTAAAAAATATTTTCCTGCACTGTGCTATAGTACAGAGTTTATCATCCTGGATGATATTTCAACTGTTGGGTGGGCGATAAACAATTTAACAGAAAATAGTGGGCGATATTGATCGTTGTGGATGATATAGAATCTTGCGTATTAAAATGTTTTCAACATATTATACCCCACAAAATATTCGGGTATGCAAAGCACCTATATAAAAAATAGGAGACTAAATGGGATGAACTGGGTCACATTGATAGATAAAATAAACATATCCCCACCGCATACAACGAATATTTTGGTATTTTCAATAATTCAAATAGTTCTTCAGAAACTAACATTTTTTGTAACATTTTTTTTGTATATGAATCAGATAAGGGAAGACTAAAATCAACAAAAAATCTTTATTATAATTATAAACAAAAATTCAGATTGCTTTCATTAAAACACAAAAGAGAGTAAACTTCACTATTGGCAGTAGTAGCAGCAATAGCAGTCGTAGACGTCAGCGTTATTTGTTACCTCCCTTCAGTATTTTGACAACATTATAAAGTGAGTTTATGAACCAGTAACAAACTCTTACCAAACAGGTTTTGGTATCCTTTTGAATATCTACTATACAGCGGGGGGATTTTTCCATGTGAAATTCGGCGATAATGCAAAAAATGTTGGGAACCCCTACTATAGACTTATTGATGTACTTACGCGCGTCAATTACATTCACTTTACCTGCTAATACACGTGGGAAAGGTGTGAATACTCATCTTCTCCCTCCAGCTAAGGGTAAACAGCAGAGCAGATACTGGGTTCTATAGCCTTGGATGGCAACTGGTCTAGGAGAAGGACAACTCTGAATTCAAAACCTGCGGAGGGTCGTTTGGGGACCTTGTGGCACGTAGTGCACCAGGTCTCTGTATTCGGCCCTTCAAAAAGTGTGGATGGTCCTGCACGAAACTTTCACCACTATAATCAATTCTCATGTGCTGGTGTCGGGCTGTCGGTTTCCTAGGAACTGATCTCCTTGACCCTCATACGTCGAATTCGATGGGAGATTCGAGTATATATATATATATATATATATATATATATATATATATATATGACAAAGTGATGCGTTTCGTCCTTTAAGACTTCAGAGAGCTAAAGGGATGTTTACATTAATGTAACTACACATGCGCACGAAAGAAGTGGGCATTGTTTTGTAATGTCAACGAATACTCGTTGTCACTTTCGTTACGCTCGTTGTAGTAGAGACTTTGTAATCGAAGATTCAACTATAGTACGCCGTCGAACAATACTGGTGTCCGACGCCTTCGAATAACACTTGCATTAATAGTACTTGCTCGATAATACTCGCTTGAAGAGTAACCACTGAACAGTGATCGGAATAGTAATGCATATAGTGGATAGTATAGAGAATAGCGATCCGCATAGTAAGAGAGGATAGAGTAGAAATAGTGAGATACTTACAAACCGCCCCACGCTATTGGATGCGGTACAAGGCCAAGTTTATTGTAGGGTATTTGAGCCCTTAGGCTCCACACAAAATTCCCTGTAGACCCCGTAAAAAACGGGGCCTATGTACCTATCTCCTGACACGAGACTCTGCTCGGGGGCATAGCCCCGTCTCGGGATCCTCTCTGCTTGGAGGCAGAGAGTTTGACCAGCACACTTCCGAAATAATCCGTACAGTGATCAGTATAGAGAAATAGTATAGTGAATAGTATAGGGAATAGAGATCCGTATAGTATTAAAGGATAGTCTAGAAATAGTGATCAATTAGACGCCAAGCTAATTCCCATATATTTCCTTTAGCATTACATGATCTACTTATTCAAAATGGGATCACCTGTGTTTGCTGTCTAGGGATATGTGTTCAAACACAAGTGTTGGTATCTATAGTTTATTCCTATATAACATATTGAAATTTTAAACTTTTAATATTTAAAACAATATTTGTTTGGGTATATAGTCTAACCAATTTACTTTAGTGTCTGTCTATATTTCTGAGATGAGGTATTATGCACACTATTTACATTATTCGGACTATTGTTCTCATCTTTGTCGCCATATTTATTCCAACGTTTAGGCCCTTCAGTATCTGTCTATATTTCTAAGACGAGTTATTATGTACACTATTTACATTATTCGGACTATTGTCCTCATCTTTGTATTATTGTAATAAATATGGCGACAAAGATGAGGACAACAGTCCGAATAATGTAAATAGTGTACATAATACCTAATCTCAGAAATATAGACAGATACTGAAAGGCCGAAACGTTGTAACAAATATGGCAAAAAAGATGAGGACAATAGTCCGAATAATGTAAATAGTGTACATAATACCTCATCTCAGAAATATCGAAAGATACTGAAGGGCCGAAATTTTGTAATAAATATGGCGACAAAGATGAAGACAATAGTCCGAATAATGTAAATAGTGTACATAATACCTAATCTCAGAAATATAGACAGGTACTGAAAGGCCGAAACGTTGTAATAAATATGGCAACAAAGATGAGGACAATAGTTCGAATAATGTAAATAGTGTACATAATACCTTATCTCAGAAATATAGACAGCTACTGAAGGGCCGAAACGTTGTAATAAATATGGCAACAAAGATGAGGACAATAGTCCGAATAATGTAAATAGTGTGCAGTTTAATTGAGTTTCTTTTTTTAAACATTTCATAAGCATTCCGAAGAAGTGATTGCTATTCAGAGACAATAAAGAAATGGAATGTGTGGAGAGCCATGAGCGTCTACCTACTGGAAGGACATGACATTTAAAAATGCATTTTGCAAAAATCTGTTTCGAAATTGCGTATTGTTTCATTTTTTTTTCCCCTAACTTTGAGTCGGCGTTCGTTTCGAACAAATAAATCAATATTAATTAAAGGCGGAAGTTTGTCATTTTTTTTTTCTTCTTATCGAAACAGCAGTCACGTGACTATGCAGATGTTTTCGGTCGGGCGGGTTTTTGGGAAAGACAGAAGGAAACGGCAAATGATAACGGGCGACGGCGGCGGTGGTGAGGCGGGGGACGTGGGAGGTGAGGAAGAAGAAGAAGACAACGTGTAGGAGAATAAAAGAAAAGCCAAAAAACGATAAAGCGAAAGACAAAAAGGAAAAATGTGGAAGGGGAGGAGAAGGTGAGGACGAAACAAGAGTTGAACAAAAAAAGAAAAAAGAAAAGAAAAAAATCTTTATTCACAAAAACAGATAGGAAATAGAGAAAAGAAAGTAAACGAAAGCAGCCACAGGAATATAAATTTGAAAAAAAAAGAAAAAAATGAAGGAGAATAATAATAATAATAATAATAATAATAAGATACAGAAGCGATGGCAAGATAAACCGCTTCATGGCCAATACTCTGTCCGTACCAAACAAGCTGACGTAGACAAAACCCGTACCCATCAGTGGCTACGTAGTGCAGAGTTGAAAGCTGAAATGAAGGTTTTATCTTTGCTGCACAGGACCAATACTTGCTAACTAGGAATTATCAAGCACATATACTAAAATATTGTGTCAGCCCAAAATGCAGATTCTGTGATAAATATCCAGAAACGATTGATCATCTTGTATCAGGTTGCACGATATTGTCACCCACTGAATATAAAACCCGGCATGACAGAATGGGCACTGGAAAATATGCAACTTCTACGGGAAGGAAACTGAAAGAAACTGGTATGAACACCACCCAGACCCGGTTACGGAGATAGGACCTGTTACAGTTCTATGGGACTACACAATACACTCTGACAGAACAATCAAAGCCAAACGCCCAGATATTGTTATTAAAGACCACAAACAAAAACAGTGCCTCCTTATTGATATGGCAGTCTCTGCTGACTGCAATGTATCTTTGAAGACATTCAAAAAGCTGTCAAAATACAAGGACCTTGAAAAAGAAATCTCGAAAATGTGGCATATGGGAACATCAACAATCCCTGTTGTAGTTGGAGCCCTAGGACTGGTTGGAAAAGATTGCAGTAGACTAATTGAAGGGATTCCTGGAAGATGCCATTTCTAACCTTAGGTCTCTGGGCAGGGCCCGAACGACATGAGTACGCATCAGAAATCAAAGGAAATAATAATAATAATAATAATAATAATAAGAAGAAGAAGAAGAAGAAGAAGAAGAAAAAAGGGAGAAGGAATAGAATTAGGAAAGGCAGAAAAAAAGAAAAATTGTATGAAGAAGAAAAGTGTAAGATGAAAATCAACAGTAGAAGAAGAAAAGTAAACGGAGGAGGAGAAGGTGAGGGATGGGAGACGTGGAGGGGGAGGGGTGGTGCTGAAGAAGGGGGAGAATGTTATTAAGTAGTAGAATTGGAAAAAGAAGAAAAAATATGAGAAGTGTTTGAAAAGAAAGTAGAGTAAAACGAAAAGAAGAAAAAGGAGGAGGAGGAGGTGGAAAAAGAAGAAGAAGAAGAAGAAGAAGAAGAAGAAGAATGAGGAGGAGGAGGAGTTATTCAATATAACAACAACAAAAGGAAAGAAAAAGTAGAAAATAAAGTCATCAGAATATTTTAAAAATATGAAATGACAGGGTAGGAATAAAAATGCAGTAAGAACAGTTCAAAAGACTTGGAACTGATCATTCAAACTATTTTTATACAGTGATGTTCACCCTGTACAAGACCCGAGGGCCACTCGAGTTAGAGGGCTACAGAGGAAGAAGCACCGTTTATGTGGATGTGTGTGGAAGATAACGGTTAACAACAGGTATTTTGAGGTACAACAGTAGACGAAATAAAGGTTTCGGTTCAAAATTCCAATCCTCTGAAGAAGGCCGGAGTGTACAACGGCCGAAACGTTGGCAATGAAGATGAGGACCACGCTCCGAGTAATGTAAATAATGTAAGTAATCATAATACCTCATTTCAGAGATATAGACAGACATAGACATAAAGGCTGGCAATGAAGATGAGGATAACAGTCCGAATAATGTAAAAAATGCAAGTAATCATAATACCTCATCTCAGA